TTATTAGGCCTAACTTTCACATATTGCTTCATACTTGCAGATTTCGACATTATATTTTGTTAAGCTATGGTTTTTGCGTTTGAGCATTTACTTTAAATTTCTGATTGTACGAGTAAGGTGTAGCCACTAGAAGCAAGTAAAGTTATTTGGAAATTTGGTGAAACTGCTTTAAGGTGTTGCTTCAAAGGCTTTGTTGGATGTAAGTTGTAACGACCTATTTGTTTGGCTATTGTCCTCTATCACTTTTTTTTTTTCGTTGACATGAATGATGGAACCACGCCACTATTCACACATAAGTGTTTCGCTCTACACAAGTCTTGTGGACTCTATCGTAGGATTTCTCAAACCTGAGGCGAGATCACCTGCTCAACTAATTCAGTCACCCTCGCAGCTTAAATTCATCTTAGATTAACTAAACAGATAATTTGACTAAACTATTGTGATTTATTAGTTAATATCAATTTAATAGGATTCTTTTTTTTCACCATATTAATCCCTCTATATTTATTGAGTAAGGACTGGGTCGAATTGAAAACAAAATTAATGCCTACTTAATTTCCTAAAGTGATAAATATTTTTTCTTTCTAAAAAAGACTTTAAGGTAGCAATATCTTAGGCTACCCAACGAAAGATTCATTATTAAATGCAGGAGATATCTCCTACTGTTTGATATAACCATGACAGTTCAAATTTATGAGAACAATAATCACGTTTATTGTGAAAATATATAATGATTAGATGATGTTTCCCTTTGTATTAATATTTTCATATTAATCTAAGTATACAAGTGTTGCTACTATAGTATTAAATCTTGGGACTTTTACTAAATAAAAATCTTAAATTGATGAATGATGATTCTTTTTCACTAGAGATCCAACACATGATGTCTATTTGTTATTTTGCTCCCATTTTCCTTTTGTCTTGAAGCTAAGGAACAAAAGAAGATTGAGTTGGACCAGATCTGAAAACACTTTCACCTAATTACACTGACTCATTCTGCTTTGTTTCACTCCCCCTACCTAGATTCCTCTTTTTTCTTCAAATTAACTTCTTCAACTCTGAATCATTCAAATTAATATACCAAAAATTAATTATTTAGGACAAGTGGATATAGAATAGTTCAAACGAATAGGAGGGTTTACTCAATATTTATGTCTTAAAATGTGTAATCTTTTTTCATTGAATATTTACGTATCGTTTGCTCATAATTAAGGTGTTTGTAGTCTTTGAGAATAACTATTACTAAGGCTAAAATAAGAAGAAAATAATTAATTTTGTCTTGAACTTTTGAAATGAGAAATATTCCCTCTGTGCGCTTTTACTGGTTTACTATTCCAAGTATTTGTCAATTTTTAGTTTTTACATATCAAGAAAATACAATTATTTCTTTCCATGTTTTACCTCTAATAAGGATAGTGTGGTAAAATAGTCATGTCAATTATTGTTTTCTTAATGAATGTGATAAGTAAATGGGACGGAGACGATAATTGTATATATTCCGTGACTATTTTTAAAAATCATGATAAATAATTTGAGACGGAGGGAGCATTATTCTTGGTATAGCTCCAATAAACTCAAATAATGTCAATTATACATCTCAAAGGAAGTGTAAAAGAATGTGAAGAATCATTCATTGGGAACTCCATTTTTTTGGTTTTGACTGGTCATTTGTATGCATAAAGATCTACTAACTTAAGATCTGGTGAAGGAGACTTCTCTGCTTTTTCACCATTGCATGGAAATAAGTATTTTTAACTGTGACATAATCAAGTCTACCATGGGTTCAAAAAAAGTTGTCTTTTTGAAAAGCATTTTAAAAGGAAATGGGGTCTAACCAAGAAAGCTACTACAGTATTAATAAATAATGAAAGGAAAGATAAACATTAGATATAATTGAATATAAAAGGGGTTGCTCTTACACTCATCCTCATTCATCTTGCCATCTATTTGCCAGTTCAGATACATATTTTTTATTATTGTATTTCATCAATGCTGCCAAGATCACCTCTGGAGGCATCTGTTACTTCCAAACATTTAATATCTAGGATTCTTTCCCTATGCCAATACTCATTTCAAAAATAATTTATCCTCTTAAAAATTATACTACTTCTTTCTTATCCTTTTTGATAGGCTCTTTGAGTTAGTCAATCAAGATTCATCAGCTAAATGATGCAAGATTCAATTCCTGCTTGTTTTTCAGCAGGGGAAAAGTTATCAGATGATCATGCTGCAGTAACTAGGTCAGGGCAAAGCATTTTTATGTCCGTTTATCGGACGAAAATTGCTGATCAGTGCAGGTTAATCACAGTTACTTGGTGCAAGAATCTGTTGTTACATGGTTTATCAGTGTCAGTAGATGGGTCAAGTGGAGATGGACAGTATACTTGCAAGGTGGAGCTAAAGCCTTGGTACTTCTGGAGGAAACAAGGTTCAAAGCATTTTCTTGTGGACAGTAAGCCAGTTGACATATTCTGGGATCTTAAGGCTGCTAAATTTAATGGTGAGACAGAGCCAAGCTCAGAGTATTATGTAGCTGTGGTTTGTGATGAGGAAGTTATTCTACTTCTTGGTGATTTGAAGAAAGATGCTTATAGAAAGACAGGCTGCAGGCCAGCACTGATTGAACCAATTCTTGTATCAAGAAAAGAACATGTTTTTGGCAAGAAGAAGTTTTCAACAAGAGTTAAGTTCCATGATAAGGGTAGAATGCATGAGATCTCAATTGAGTGCAAGAACAGGATTAACAGTAGCGGAATTTCTATCGATGGGGTTGATCCAGAAATGGAGATAAGGATAGATGGAAAATCGTTCATTCATGTGAAGCATTTGCAGTGGAAATTCAGAGGGAACGAATCGATTCATCTCAACAAAGTAAGGATAGAAGTGTACTGGGATGTTCATGACTGGATTTTCAATCCTGGTTTAAGGCATGCTTTGTTCATTTTCAAGCCAGTTCTGTTATCCACATCTCCTTCATCAGTATCCGAATTATCATCACCGCCATTCTCTTCATCAGCATCAACTCCTTTATCATCCCAAACAGGAAGTTCTGGTTCAATAGAGGGGTTAAATTCAAACAACTCTTCAGATTTTTGCCTGTTTCTTTATGCTTGGAAAGTAGAATGAGAAAAGTTACATAGAGTGAATATTGGTTTATTGTATCTATCATCTCATTAAAAGAAGCTAAAGAAAACATAATGGTTGAAAGAGAAAAAACTGAGACTCATGTCATGGCCTAATTAGGAAGAAGATTGGGTTGACAGGTGAGAGAAGGAAAAGAGCAAGGCACATGGGAACAATTGGGGCCCAAAATTAGCATATTGTGGCTGCAAGGTAGTTACAGCTGTTATTGAAAAAGAAATGGGCATAATTGGACAAAGACAGATTGGATAACATAACATGATCAATTATTTTCCCAATCTAGAGGCATCTCCATGTTTGTTTTCCCCCACAGTTTTCTTCTCTTTCTCAACTCTGGTTTTTGATAAGTGAGCAATTATTTTTGTGATACTTTTGTCTTCTAAATTCTCTCTATATATACAGAAAAATATTGAATACATTTTACTTCACTGTATTTCTGCATTTGGTGTAACTAACTGAAGTAAAATGAACTATGTAAGGAAAAATAACAAAGCTTTTGCAAACTTTCAACTACTAAATTGTCAAGTCCATAGAAAAATCCATAATACATACAGAAAACAACCAACATCTTTAACTATATAATATTACAAAGAGTTTTCTCTTCCTTTACAAAATTTATTGTGCAATGATTTGATGATCAGTAATTTATCATATTTTCTAAAAGGGATGTGGGCAGAGGTGGAGTTCAAAATGAGGAACCTCTGATGATAAGACAAAACAAATGATAAAGTATGGGAGATTCATTACACTGGAGTTCTACCAGAAATTTATTGGCTCAGGCCAATAAAACAAATGAAAAGATGTGCTGGAGACTTTAAATCATAGCTTTTCTACAGTCTGGCCATAGTCCTACTTAAGGTTGGTTAGCCTATTGATAAGTTTGATTGATAATAGTATTATTTGTGGCTGGATAGACCTTTTGACATAACTGCTAAAAAGAATGAAATAAATGAAGGTATACAATCTGAACATAGATGTTGAGTTGGAAGTTGGAGTAAGGGAACTGGCTGTTATTCAAGGAAGAAAATATACTTGATCATCAAGCATTTTCATGGGAAGAAATCAGGTTACATAAATATCTATTTTTCGATGGGAGACAAATTACAATAACTGAAAAAATTCCATGTTCAAAATGGATAATGACTTGACTACTTCATAAATTAGAGTTAAAATATGCTCTTTTAACCAGCAATAACTATCAATTTTCCACAGAGATAATGTTATGTGAAATATAAAGCTAGACAAATGCCTAGGATGTTTATTCATTCCTCTGGTTGTTTTGGGATATTTGATTACTTTACTGGTGTAAGTATCATTTATGCAGCAGCGAACTGAGCATAAGTAAGGCAGATCGTTTCATGAAGTAATCACACTAGTTATGCAGGAATTATTATGGGATGCATAACTATGTGCTGAAAGATAATATAAAGATTGATACAAGAAAAATCTAGATTTAACTTCACTAGCTAGTATACTTGTAATTCGAAAAACAGAAGATAGTCTACATATACAAGTTTTAGGTGTTCTTATTCTTATTTCATATTTATCCCGTATAAAATCACATGTAGATTAACTCTACCATAAGGATTACAAGGTCTACAGAGATTAACATAGGAAAAAAACCAACCAAATACATCCAGAAGTAAAAAAAAAAACATTGTAGCATGTGGAAACAGCCTGGGCCAGACACAAAAAAAATCAATTTAATAAGACCAACAACCAAAAAAGCTCTCCAAACATTTTGAAAATTCCCCATTAATGTTGTAAAAAAATAATCACTTTCTATTGCTTGTCAGTTCTCAGACTAAATTTGAGCATTGCATGATCGAAATTACTCATATTTTAGCAGATTTAATAACTCACTTCCCAAAACCAAACCACTTTGCTAAGAAGAAGGTCTTGTTCTTGCCACGTGAAGCATCAGCTGGTTTTGCTGGTGATGCTGGAGAAGCATGTATAGGTGATATTGTAGGTTTACCTAGAAGAAAACAAATATGATTAGGCCGATTGATCCTTGAAATGTTGACAATGTATTATTCTTTGCATTAGCTTCTATCAGGTGTTCCAAAAGAGGAAAGGAACAATGAAAAAATATACTAATTTTTTATCTTTTATGTTTTGGTTTTCTTTCTACTGCAGGGAGATCAGTAGCTAAAATGGTCTCATATCCTATCAGTACAACTTATAAGCACATGGATAAGTCTCCATATCAATGCATCGGAAATAACTTATTTGATTTTGTGGGAGCAATAATGTGTTAACTTATCGGGTATTGTTGATTAATATTGGTAAGAAACTAGGCAGATGTCTTTTATTTTTTTGCAGAGAATATACACATATCATAGAAACTTTCCAGGTTATGTTAAGACAAACTAATTCTACAGGAACATGATGAGAAGCTTATGGACCAAGGCAAGAAGATGATGATGATCTTTGTGCATGACTATTAATTCAACTAAAATTAACATGAAGGGCATAGATGGATAAATGAAATGAAGTACCTGTGTTTGGTGACGCTCTATTTATCTTCCCATTCTTCACATCTTTAGATATCTTATCTGAACTTGGTGTATTTTCTGGAGGGGTGGAATTCCTCTCCAAGACTTGATGTGCTCTAAATTTATGGCTACCTGCAATCATCAATGGTAATTCAATTGCAGGGTATGCAACACAAAAGTGAGTGTTAGAAAAAATCATGTCTAGTGAAAATAAAGCTAAAATGTTCAACAGTATTTTGATTCCAAGTAGGTAAAAGAATCACCAAGATTTGTCAGTGAACTTACTCTCAATGGGTGAATTTCCATAATTCTGCCTCATAACTTCGACAAAACTATCATCCTTTGGATCTTGCATCACTACAAGGAAAATCATAAACTTCTATCGCAAAAAATGTTGTGAATATGTGATGATAATATTACAATAGCTGCTACAAATAACTTACATTGGTCAAAAAAAGCATTTCTGTAATTAGGGGAGGAGCCAACTGAAAGCAGCTGAACTGCTTCTACATCTCTTGTCATCGACACCTTAGAAGATGCACTCAAGTTTTGTGTGTCTAAAAGTATGCCTGCGAGCTGAGAAGTAGAGTGTCAGAGATCAAAAAGGGCTTCTCATCTGCTTATATTGTTAATTTGATGAATGGAGCTTATTTAGTACCAGAAGCTTTTTCAAGATAGGCGTCTGAAGTAGTTCATAAGCCTCCTCACAGTAATTGTCCGTAAGAACAGTACACCCTGATACTGCCTACATGTATGGCAGATGTTAGGAGAAAATATTAGAAAGCTTCACCATATTATTGCTAGGCTATTTCTTTCCCTGATTTAACTTATATATTTTGTTTCGGAGAGCACGCTATAAGTACCTCTCCATTAGTTTTGAGTATGTCTTCTCCAACTACAAGGATGCTTAGCTGCTTAGCCAACAGTAGTGTCTCCAAATCAACCTGTTCAAAACCAAAAGAAGAAGACAAATCAGCATTAGCTCATCAAAGGAAACAATCCCAAATGGCTCACTAGTGGTATAACTTGCAAGATCTGTTCTGACATTCTAGGGAAGATTAAATATCCTATGCATTACTAAATGATGCACAATTAGATCTTTGATTGCAGTCTATAAAAGGAGGAACATACTAATCTATAAATCAGTATAAAAACATGATATATAAAAATCTGAGATTAATGTTTCAGTTAAAGTGTTTAACTAAATATTCTCTGATCCTGTTCACAGTTCTCAAGTACAATATATACATCAATGTTAAAGCACATAGCAAGGCTGCAAAGTTAACGACAAAGGAAACTTAGCACCCGTTTGGCCATAAATTTTGAAGTTATAACTTGAAAAATTGAGTTTTTGAAGTTCATTTTTGGAATTTGAAGTTGTTTTTGGACATGCATTTAACTTGAAAAAAAATTGAAGTTGCGTGTGTGGAAATTCCCAAAATCCAAAAATCGGTCTGAACTAGGTGTTGGGAACTTGAAAATATTTGAAGAACAAATTTATTTTCAAAATCTGATCAAATTTCAGCCAAACAGATTTTTGAAGATTTCAAAATCTGATCCAAATCGATGGCCAAGCGCTTGCTTAACTTTATATTAAGAGTCTCAAGATCTTGCTACTAGTAGCATACCTCATCGGAAAAGAGCAGAGATTTGGCATCAAGACCAACAAGATGAAAAAGCCGAGCCACTTGCCGCTGCTTCAACATTTTCCTTCTTGTCATATTCATCACAGGAACCACCACCTGAATTGTATTTGCATCTCCTCCTTCTTGCTCATTAGCCCTCGTCCTATTTTCCAACAACCAAGCATAGCAAATTGCCGCCACCATTGAGCTTGTACCTACAATATTTCAACTCACTCAGTAAAATAACCGAAACCTAAAGCAAAAACACATGATTTATCGATCTACAATTGGAAAAATATCAGCTGGAACTCAACTGTTGGAAGGTCCAGACAGCACAATTTTGGCTTTCCCTTTTATCTGTCCACTAAAAACGTTGTCGATTTTGTCTCTCTGCTCCTTCAAGAACCGATTCAATTCCTGACTCTTCAAATCTTCCGCCTTGACTTCATCTCCGTTCACATTGTTCTTTCGTAAAACCTTCTCAAATGCACATGTGGACGCAGAGATACTCCTCCGATGAGTCGACTCTACGAAATTCCTCGGAGGAGAAAGTACCGGATCGACCGGGATCGAGCATGTTGTCGATGAAATCGACCTCCGGTGAGAAGATTCGATGAGACTTTTTGGTGGAGAAAGTGGCTTGTCATCTAAAAAGTGTGATACATTGTCCGTTGAGCCGGTGGCGGGAATTTTGAAAGTTCGTTTCGGAGAGTTGATAGAGTGTGGCTGAGGTGCATTGGAGTTTGTATGGAACCGCGTTCGGCGACTGATTGATTGGCGGGGAGGGAGGGTGAGTGCGGGTTGCTCATTGTTGGGCTTGGGAGAAGTGGGGTCAGTGGGCCCATCATTTGGAGGTTTGAAGATGTTGGAGAACCAATCTTGAACGTTTGATGAAGGGGATGTGCCGGCTGTAGGAGGATCAATTATTAACGGCTCTGATTTATTGCGGTTGTGTTTTGCTGTTTTTGAGAGGATTTCTTCACTGAATCCCACCACTGATCTATGCCTGTTTTTCCAGCAAAGAAAATCTATGGTAAAATTTTGAGTTCATGATTAAAAAAAAAAAAATTGGCTATATTTTTTTGCGAGTTTCACACTTAACTATTAGTTGTTTCTTTTTTCCTAAATATTGAAACTGATTAGGCTAACTATCAGTTGTTTTCTTTCTCTACCCGAACTATCACCATCTACCTAAATTACTCGCACTTGGGTGCAGGTGTCAAAACTTTAGAACCCACACCAATGCTTGAAAATTTAGTAGTGAAATAGTTAATAAACTTGGACTAATTGGGACGGATCACGATAACTCGTGATGATCTCTTTCAAGCTTAGAGTGTAGCTTTGAAGTTCTAAAAACACATAGTTTTGGTGTGAGGGATAAAAATAAATATAAATAGTGATAGGATAAGAAAATAGTGATGAGATAAAAATTTTGTATTTTGTTTGGTTGCCATATTTGAGATAACTTATACCATCATTTATATCATAGTGATGGGATAAGTTATCCCAGGATAGTTAGTCCCTAGATAACTAATCCTGGATAACTTGTTTCCAACCAAACGACTTACACTTCAAATACTTAACTTTAATTTAGGATCACAAGATTGAAAAGTTTTCATTATTTTCTTAAATTTCGTATCAAGTCTCTTCTTTTTTTTCCAACTGAAAGGAGTAGTGTATATTGATCATAATTGTACAATTCCATTGCAGTGATCAGAGAAAATACACTGTTTTTGTTATAAAAAAAAAAAGAGCTTTAATTACCTTCTAGCAGACCTAGAGAGGGGATCTCTGCCTTCAGTAGGAGAATCAATTCTAGCATGAGATGTTGCAAACCTAGGGGAAGTCACTAGCCGCCCTGGAGGGGACTCACTTCCACGACCAGGAGATGAAGCTACCATTTGCTTAGCCTCCTGCAGCCACTCCTGAGTTAGCCTGCTGCTAACACTCCTTGTGCTTGAGTCGAAATCATCATCATCTTCTATCGAATTTGTGTTAATTCCCTTCAGATTATACGTTTTTTTATCAGGACTTGGTGTCCCGAAAAACATGTCATTCATAAAATCAGTTAAGTCAGGGACAGGACTAGCAGGCTTTCTGTTCTCTGCAATTATCCTCTGTAAGCTCTTTGAGGATCCTCTGCTTTCGTTCGACAGGTTCCTGTTGAATCTCCTCTCCATCGCGCGATGCTATGAGTAGAAGCACAATCTCGATTACGAATGGAAATGCAGGAATTCTTAGATGAAGATAGAGACAACATTGCTAAAATAAATGAATAGGAAATATTGTAACATTTTGCCGGCACAAAGATTGTCTTTTCTTTGTGTAGTCTTGTGAAAATTAAATCCGCCTCCTTGGGGGTTTGCCGCGTGAAATAAACGAATTCTAAGAAGCTACAAAAATGATTAATTCCCTCCTGTCCAATTATTTATTTTTAAAAAAGGACAGGCTATGCAAATTGGTAAATCATACAATGAGTGAAATATACATGCTAATGATCAGAGATTAAAAAGGGAAACATGATGCACAAAGCATTCTGCATTAACCAGGGTCAGGGGAGGGCCACACCCAAGTAGTGTGATGTAAACAGTCTATCCTAATGCAAGCATTAATGATTGTTTATACGAGCTTTAAAGATCACACGAAGATAACTTTGTGGTTGCTCGAAAGCTCGTGATAAGCCAAACATATATGCACTCAATAATAGATTATTGCTGGGCATACTTTGGCAGAATAAGTAGAAGTATAGTACTAGTATATAATCAGAATTTAGTGGAAGCAATATGATAACAAGCTTTGAACTTAATTAGGCAAGAAGACAAAAGCAGTACGAGTATATCAAGTATGGGCCTCTCAACCATCATTTTGATTGAGCTGGTCATGCGCTAAGACTGGGACACAAGATTCACACATAAAAAGCCCAATTTACTCGCATTTTGTTCATGGGTACTCAATTTCGGCACCTTTATTGAGTACCTTTCACATATACCAAACATAAAAATCATATTTGTATGTTATAGGTATAGTTTGCATAATTGCGCTCCATAACAAATTTTATGTTTGCTATGGAGCTTTTGATTTGTATAATTTGCTACAAACATTCAATTTTATACAAATTGTTCAGTTTTGTATAAATTCATTTATACATTGTAATTTGTATAATAAGATCTGTATTTGTATAATTATAAGTGTATAAGATGAAAATATATGTATTTGTATTTGTATATACATTTTTCTCTCACTTTATACAAAAGCAAACGCATTTTATACCGAAATGTATAAAATGACTATTTGTATACCGAAAATGACTAATTGTATATCGAATCAGATGGCAAAAAAAGGGAATGTTTGCTGCGAATTACAATTAAAATTTACTTAAAATAAACTATGGCTATAGCATTTAATTTGAATTAATTAATAGTTTGCTATTTCATACCATTTTTTCTTTATTTAATTTGTACATACTTTTTAATAAACATTCTGTGTTTACTTCGGAACAACTTCACATCTGCAGTGTTTGAAATTTAGATTTAAAAAAATCACTGAAGTTTAGATAAAATAGTTGAACTTTAGATCAAAAGTTTGAACATTTAGGCAAAAATGACAGTATTCAACCATATATTTTGATTGAATTTCAATTGTATAAAACTTCAGACGCAGCATGTTTAATTATTCCAAGGTGAGTAGACTTATAATTTAAGGCGTGAACAAGAGACCGTAGCTTTTGCATATTATCTCATCTTCCTTTTCCCATTTTTTTTTGCCCTTTGCACTAATGTTAGATAAATCCTGTATATAAATATTTCTAGTCAAAGAGTTATCCTACTCCATATAAAAAAAAAATGTAAGCACAGACTCCGCCGTTAATCTGGATTTCTTAATTATTTCTTTAAGCAGGAAAAAAGAGAGAACAACATCAAATCAGAAAGAAATGTACTTCCTTCTTTCAACAATAATTATTCACTATACTATTTTGTGTTATTCAACAATATTTGTCCACATTATAAAATAAATGGATAATTTTACCCTTATCATTAATTATAATCATTTTTCTGTTATATTTTTCAAGACATTGTATTTATTACTCCTTCTGTCCCTTTTTATATGTCACGTTTTTACTTTGCGCTTGCATTAAGAAATGATGTAACTTTACTCTTCTACCCTTATTTAATGTTTTCTTAAGTCAACTTTATTAATAAATGATGAAATTAATTAACTACTCTATTAAGGGTATAATAGACAAAATATGATAATTTATGTATAAATTTTATAAAATGACAAGTATTGTGATCCAACTATTTATAGAAAGGAATGACATATAAAATGAGACAGAGGGAGTATATTCAGAGGGTGATATAATAAAATTACTTTTTTATTTATAGTTTCTTAAGAAGCGTGCAAAGTTAATACTCCCTCTGTCCCTAATTACTTGTCCACTTTTTCTTTTATAGTTGTCCCTAATTACTTGTCCATTTTAACAAATCAAGAAAGAACAATTGTTTTTACCTATTATACCCTCAATTAAATGACTAATTACTTTGAAAAATGCAAAACTTTTCATCCACTTCATAATTAATAGAAGTAAAATAGTAGATTCACTATATCATTAATTGATTTCTTAATAGGTATGTCAATTTAAAAATGGACAAGTAATTAGAGACGGAGGGAATAGTATACAGGTATTATTGGACAGAGAGTAGTTGCTATTACCCCTCTACAAGGAAATGCATTTGAGAAATTGTGTATTTAATTCGTGTATTAGTTAGTAAAAATATACTAATTAAATTGAAGTCAACGAGAAAGAGATAAGCTTCCGTACGTGTAATTGAAAAGGCTGTGATCCGTACATACATGAACCTGCTCCCCTTATTTTTGTCATCTTCTCTGATCTGCATATCATATTCCTTCAAATAATACAGTAAAATGTTTTTTTAATTTTCAGATCGTTGAAAATAAGTTCCTAACACAAGAAAATAATCATGAGTATCTTAATTATTTTTGACCGATCGACCGATAAAAAAAAGTTGAGTAACTTACCATTCACTTATGTTATTTCAAACTTCTTCACTAGATAGCCTTTGATATACAATCTTCTATCCCTTCGAAATAAAGGTATTAATATCACTTTGAACAAGATTAATTGTGTAATAGATCGTCATAATAATATGAATGTGTATTCGATTTTTCGGAACAAGTTCAGAGTAAAATCTATACATTTTCCCTAAAAGTTAATGATAATAATTAAAGAATGGAGCTTTTAATTTCTCCCCTCTCTTGAGAAAATTTAAAATGTATTTGGGGGAGTTGGATGGTGGTTCAGCTCTTTGAGACCTTTTTTTATTTTTTATTTATTAAAATAAATATAATTGATCAAGATTACTAGGAATTTAGATTGATGATGTAACACTTGAGAACTCATGTTATTAATAAATATAGCCATAAATATATGATGTGAATGGTTTAAATTGATTGAATCTTTCTCAATTATCTTGGTCGAAACTTGTATGCACTTTTTTCCCATATAGTTATGACATGACTACTAAGACTCCATGTATTTCTTCATCCGGATAATAATATACATTAGTTAGGAAAACAATAGTGAAACTTGAAAGTGCAGCTCATAACTTCATATATGGAAAGAAAATTTTACTTTGATAATCGATTTTGAGATCCAATTTACAATTATTAGAAATGTTTGTACCTAATTATTACACAACATAGTAATATTTTATTAATTATAGCAAATTGATTTATTTTTAAAAAAAGGAGGATCCTTTAACAATTAACTTAAATGATCGTTTACCAACTGATTAAATTAAACATAGTACATCAGGTAAAAAACAACGTAAACAATAAATCTGTCTTATTGTTTGGGTGAAAATCTCTAATTTTAACGCTTAATATAAAATGTACAAAAAGTCTTACCCAACTTAAACTACTTTTAAGTTTTAGCAACCGTACTTAGCGCTGAGGGCAACCTGATTTTCTAGCCTAGGTAACAGCATATATATCAAGATAATTAAATCTATCAATGGGTAATAAACACGTTGTTTTAAATATAAGTAAACATATTAAGCCGATTGAATAAGACTACAATAAAACTATCAGGAGTATAAATGTATAATATATGTTTAAATTACTTATATAAATATATATGATGAGGTCATGAGGCCAACTAGTAAATGCTGCCTTAAATAATGTAAACTTGATTAATGGACATACGATTAGCGATTTCTCATGACAAAATACATACCTACCCCACCTTCTGCATCAACTCATAGATCAACCTTAATCACTTGATCATTTTCTTGTTTTAGAGTCTTTCCAAATCATTAGGGGACAAACCTCTTAACCAAAATTAATATTAGTAACGTTAAATATTCATATCGAATGTGTCGAAAGATCGCAGTGGATATTACTTGGAACAAATTATAAATTCCAAAAAATATAAAAATATATTCATCTAAACCAAGGTCAACTTCTAATTAAGCTCTTGTCCAAACAAGTAGTTCCCATAATATAATTACAAATTTATTAGTCTGTAAAACGTCATAAACTTACCCTTTGAATATTGCTTAGGGCCAATTCAAACATCAATTAGTTATTTTATTACTTATATAAAACTTAATTAGTATAAGAAAATGACGTCACTGTCTTATTGTAATTGTTTGCACCCCTTATGGAGGTTAGAGAGGTAGCTGCCAGTTGGGCTTATGTTTGACTTATTCATATTTTAACCTTTCTTTAAGAAATGGCCTACTTTTGTGGCAAATATCTTGATATCTATATAAAGGTTCTCATTGATCATTAGGGATATTACATTCCAATTTTCTCTCTCTTATTACCAAAAAGAAGTTAAAAGAGGCAAGTAAGAAGATTATAATAGGCAAAAATGGCAATTAGTACTCGTTCTATTTTTGTGGCTACAATTGTCATATGTTCATTTTTGGCTCTTTGTGATGGTGAAATATTGTTCTCCACCCTCAAGAAAGCTCTTGAAGTGAAGGCTGAACACAAAGCGGGCGGTATGTGCTGTGTATTACCTATCCTTTTTATTTTTCAGATTTGAGAAATATATATATATATTTTTTACTTATGTAGTAATCTCACACTAAGTATTCCCCCACAACTGCAATTCAAGGCTTTAATTTGTTGTCACTTTACGAAGGTTCTAGATTTGAGTGACCAGTACGAAAGCAAAAAGATATATAGGGCTGGGAAAAAATGAATACTATATGGATGATTGACTTTTAGAGTGAAGATATGTATTGATCAACTATAAATTATAATTAAGTGATATGATACATGTAATTGATATTGTGTAAATATCGACTAAGTTTTTAGTACAGTTAATGTCTTGTATCTTTGGGGATATGTTTCTTAGCATTAGTCGTTTACTTTTTCGTTTTTAGAAGAAGGAAAATATTAAGTAAAATTTGTTTGATTAAGATATCAGATACTACATAGATTTAAGTTACAATTAATGATCTTGTTGTATAAGTAATTTAACCTGTGTTACTTTAAATTATCGATCAGTATTACTAAATAAAAGTTATGTGCAATATAACTACCTTTGTATAAATATTTTCAGTCTTGATGGCCGGGGAGGACATACTCACATTCAAGTGGTCCTTGAACACTACACTCTCAGCAGGGGCAGACTCAGGCTACAAATCAGTAAAATTGCAGCTCTGTTACGCCCCCATAAGCCAAAAGGACCGTGCGTGGAGGAAAACAGAAGACCACCTTAAAAAGGACAAAACTTGTCAATTCAAAATTGTGACCGTACCATACAAATCCTCAAACAACAATTACACTTGGACAATCAAGAGGGATATCCCAACAGCTACTTACTTTGTTAGAGCTTATGTTTTGAATGCTAATGGTCAAGAAATTGGCTATGGACAAAACACTGATGACAAAAAGGTAGACAACCTTTTCAGCATTCAAGCAATTAGCGGACGACATGTTACTTTGGATATTTGTTCTATTGTCTTCTCTGCTTTCTCTGTTGTCGCTCTCTTTGCATTTTTCTACATGGAGAAGAGAAAGGCCAAGGCAGGTAAGTGATGGCGATGATGATGACTATGACCATGGATGGATCTACATTGTGTGATTATGTGGAAGGAAATTAAATAATCTCCTTTATTTTCGATGTATCGTAGACTTTTTTTTTTTATATATAAGATAATGTATTAATTAAGTTTAATACTGAGTTTGATGACTCATCATGTGTCATGCGTGACATTGTTAATTACCTTCTTGTTTTTAATTTATACTCTGTACTTTTATTGGATGAGGGAAGTTTGTTTTATCAGGTTTTTACATTGTTTAATTACCTTCTTGTTTGATTTATACTATCATGTACTCCTTATTCCATTTTCTAAGAAACAAATCGCATTACTTACAAAATTATATTTATAATTTCATAAAAAGCAACAATGAAAAAATGTAATTTAAATTATGTCATTGAATATTTTTCTTTATAGATCACAAATTCAGTTAATATGAAATAAGAAAAGTCATCATCACCAAGACTTTTTGGCCAAGTTGCATTATAATGTAGTCAGTTGATTTTCTGATGGTTCGACTAATTATTTTATTTTTCAAACTTTTTATTACGAGTCGAAAGGACACATGATGAAAGTCGTCGGAAGAGCATGTGTTTATACGATAAATAATAAATCAAAAGGTGTCTCGTTATAAATACTACTAATTAGTAATATGAATACTCTCTGGATTTCATATTAATTGGTTATTTTTTTACACGTATATTAAGAAATTATAAATAAAAAGATAATTTTACTAATTCAATCTTTAAAAGACTTATTGAAAATTTTACAAATAAATGTGAACACTTTAAAAATAATAATTGTAAGAGTAATATGAGAAAAATTAATGAATGTTTTCTTGATTTAGTAATATGAAACAACTATTTTTAGTAAGATGATCAACTAATTTGGAACAGATGGAGTATTTAAATAGTACCTCTACAACTTCCGAAGAATCAAGCAAGTAGCTTTGTTAGCAGGTTTGTATCAACATCTTACAATACCTCTATAATATACTTTGTTCGAAGTTAATTCAGTTCATTATTTATCTGTTTGAAATTGAATAATGTATTTTTGTCTTTATACTTGTCTCTGTTGTATTTACTCTTTAGTATTTCGTATATAATACATTATCATCTCAAGCAAATACTTTGCAAAGGTACAAATTTTGTTTTCTTAATTAATAACATTTTTTTAAACCTTGAATGAATATTATCAGACACACACTTGTTATCTCTCTTACCTCATGGGTACTCTTGGGACCTTGGAAAAACTCAAAGTTTGTTCAACATATAATCTTTCATTTGGAGACGTGAGTGCAACTTGTTCATGATAATCTTTCCAAATCCAATTTTTGTTAATTAATTCGGATGCCCTCTCTTTGATCTCAAATTATAATTATTATAAATCATGCATAAAAGAAGTTGACAATAGACGATCAAATCTCTTTATAACGTTATTTGTTATAAAGACATTTCACAATAATGAAATGATTTTCTCTCGAGTCGATTTTTTATGTTATATTTTACTTCTGTATAACATTATTCTACCTATAACAATGGTCCATCAGTTATGGTCATAACTTCACGAGAAAAAAACTATGAATATATACCTTTATCACTGAGAGAGTGGAATTTACTAAATTACATTGTAAAATCATTATGTCATGAAACTTTAAATTTCAAATTTTAAAATTAATTTTAAAGGCAGATGTTCTTTATATTTTAATTCTTTGCAGGTACGATACAACTAGTTATGAATTTAGTCATAATGTATTAACTTTTTTAATTAGTACATTTTAACGTTAAATATCATTATATATATATATATATATATATATATTACATTACCTAGTTATAACTATCATAAATTGTCCCGACATATATTAGCACTATAAAAAGATTTCATTTTACAGTCAAAATTGAATATTCTCTTAATCTTCATGATAGTGAAAGACGCCAAGTTGCCAACCCCTTCCAAAATTTCAAGGAATCTCTCTCTCTCTCTCTGTATATAATATAATAACATTTTTTTGGCCTTTTTTTTTAATTTTTCACTCAATATTTAGAGTTCACATTGATGTCCCGATTAAATTTGGATTGCACACTGAAGGACCCTATCCCAAAGAGATTTTCTTCATATTTAGGGCTCAAACTTGAAATCTCTAATTAAGGCTAAAACAATTTCATCCCTACACCACATGAAGCGACCAAATTAATTTTGGGATTTAATTAACAAAGTAGCCACTAGTAAGGTCAACGAATTCAGCTAAAGACATAATAGTCGAAGCTTGCACCGTATTGGAGTTCAATTATATTTTAGATTCACTTTGCTTGGAAATTATTTGGAAAAAAAAAAGTCTCTATCAAAGATTTTTCATATTCAAAAATAATATTTTTCCTTTTATTTACTCTTATTATTCAAATAAATCTTCTAAAAAGAAATAAAAAGATTAAGTGCTCAAACAATAATAATAGTTTGTCAAATAACTAATAATTATTTTTTTAATGAACATGTAAAAGGGTAAAAATGATAAATAAACAGGACCGAAGGGAATAGACCATTTTTTTTAATTTCAAAATCATATTTTGTCTATGCAAGTCATCTAGGGGCCAGCATGATAATAATATAATTAACTATATGTATTTGAAAGTTCTTTGAATCTTCCACCAATATCAAGATACTCATAGAGATTCCAACTTTTCCAAAATTTCCCTTTTTAGTGAAGAGTTGAGGTTCCCCACTTGTATCCTTAATTTAATCAATTATTTCAAACAATATTTTTTAAATATTAGACATCACTAATTCATCATAATTAAACTAATTTCATCCCTTGTTGATCACCCATAGTGCTAATGAAAAATAGCAACTTATATTTAGCTAATTAATTTAAAAATTATTTTTTCAACGTTAGAGCAACAATTTGATAGAGGAATTAAGAACAAGGATTAAATTTTTTTTGACCAAGTACGTTAGATATTTTAATGGGCCAAGCATTGGGTGGTGTATAATTTATTTATTTTTGGATGGTGTATATTGACGGTTAGATAAATGTCAAATTCAATTTTGATTTGTCTACTCCATATCAAGCAAAGTCTAACTTATATCGTCACTTATATAAATTAGTGGGTTCACATGCTGGACGGGACATGATGCAGTAGATGGGTTATTTCTCTCTTAATCAAAGATTTCGAGCGAATTTGAATATGAATTTTTTTTTTTATAGGGAGCATTATTTTAATGGAGCTCTATCCAAATTCAGAATAGTCGTTCTCTAATGTAGGTAGGTATTAGATACCTGTTGAATTTTTATCAAAAAAAAATAAGTGGGTTCACATACTGTATATTTCTTTTTATATTTCCTTCTCCATACAATCTCTCTCTTCCTCATACTTTGGAAGTTCAAAAATCATGGCTACTTTTTCTGGCATTTTTGTTGCCTCAGCAATTGTTTTTTCTTTCTTTGGAATTATCATTACTTATGCTGCTCTTTTCTCTTCCCTTCAGCAAACTCTCCTAATCAATTCTTCACCTTCACAAGGACAAGGTATGCCTTTTTTCTGGACAATCATTTTAATTTACTACTATTTTTTTTTAAAAAGTATTCTAATAATTAGATTAATTCCTTGAAAGTTGACTCTTAATAAAAAAATATATCGACCCATGATTAAGGAATTTAATATTTTTATAGTCCACTTGTAGCAACCTTTTTCCATTCTTATTTGAGTATATATATTTCCTTTAGTTTGAAGGGATAAAGTAATGGTGTGTTACCATGGCCGGGTTGGTATGAGTCTGTTCAGTTCGTCGGAAAGTTATACAGTATAAATCGATAAAATAGAATCTTTTTGTTATGTATAAATTGTTGAATATTTCTCTTAATATAAGTGAAAGTAAGAGCATATTTGGCATTGTGGGAGGTCAAAAACACTTAATTTGAGAAAAAAAATATTTTTGTTGAAAAATTAGGAGTTTGACAAATCAATAATATTATTTTTAAATAGAAGTAGAAACATTTTTTCTACATATGGAAAGAAGCTAAAATTTTCTGTTTTTTAAAAATGCAAAAGCAGAAACAAAAATTATTTTTCTCAAGACTAAAATATTTCTTTCATATATACATATTTACCAATATATCTCTTATTGATTAATTAGCATATCTTATAAGTTTGATTAAATACTTTATTTTACGTTTATATATTATTATTTTATATTTTACAAAAAAAAACAATATTGTTGTAAGGTTAGAAAAAAAAAATAACAATTAAAGATTTCAACCCTACTAAAAAGGTATAATATTGATTGAAAATTTAATCTTAATATTAAAAGTACATTAATATTTGTCTTTTTTCGTAATTTGACTCTCAGAAGCAATTTAAAAAAAAGAATAGTCAAACACAATTTACTTATGAAAAGCATTTTTTCAAATGAATTAGCCAAACACAATTTTTTTTTCAAAAGTACTTTTCTGAAAAACTATTTTTAAAAAATGCTGCTAAAAATAAGTCATTTTTAGCAGTAATGCCAAACATGCTCTCTAAGTGATAACGTAATGGTTCAAAAGTTTTTGTAAGTCACAAGTTTGAATTTCCATCTCTATAACATTTTAGTATCTCTGTTAGAGTGTGTTCAATAGGAAAGAAAATATTTTCTTGAATTTTCTTTAGGAAAATAATTAATAGGTTACTTATTTTCTAGCGTTTTGATATCTAAATAGAAAATATTAAAAAATTATAGTACTATAACTTAGATAAATACTATGGAAAGTAGGGGTGTAGGGCTGTTGGGATGGAGACTATAAGGTGTGTTGGAGGATAGGAAAGACATAATCAACCTGGAATTTTACTATAATTTTTCTCATTTTTAATGAACTTGTTTTTTCGTTGAGAAATTATTTTCTTCGAAAAAATCCCCGGACTCCGTAATTAGGTGTTAATATTGAATTTGTACTATGCAGTTCTGCAAGCTGGAGAAGCACAAGTGACAATAACATGGTCATTGAACAATAGCTACCCAACAGGTACAGACTCAAATTACAGGACAGTGAATGTTAAATTATGTTATGCCCCAGTGAGCCAATTGGACAGAGGATGGAGAAAGTCCAACAACAATCTCAAAAAGGATAAAACTTGTCAAATTAACCTTGTCACCATGCCATATAAACCTTCAAACAACAATTTCACTTGGACTATACACAAGGATGTTCCTACTGCTACCTATTTCATTAGAGCTTATGTTTATGACTCTACTGATGAAGTTGTTGCCTATGGCCA